CTTTTTGAGACAGGGTCTCCCTGGAGCCCCAGCTGTCCTGGAACTCACTATGTAGACGAGGCTGGCCTTGAACTCACAGAGATCCACCTGCCTCTGCCTCCCAAGTGCTGGGATTAAAGGTGTACGCCACCACGCCTGGCCCTCTAATTCTTATTTTTAAACCCAGTGCATAAAATAATCCTGAAATGGTGATCCCTTGCCAATTAAAACCCACCCCATCTTCCTCGCCATTGGACAGTGCTGTCCTCTCTTAGGTTACAGGGTAACTGCAGGACATTTTTGCTGACACACATCGCATTGTAACCAGCTGGGCATTCTTCTACAAAAGGAGGTAAACATACCAGACTCAGTGCCCTTCTTTTCTTGTCATCCTAGAAGGTGGAACTGATGCCACCATTTGATGCGTGGACCTTGGAAGTGTTTTACCCACGCAGTTTAATGCAGTCAGTCTCACTAATTAATTCTACACCCCTTTGATTAAAGCACAGATGGATTCTTGCAATGAAGAAGAAAGTGGGAAAAAAGGTAGGAGACTCACTGTCGACTGGGCACGTCAAGTTACACGGAAGAAAGAAACTAAAGTAATCTTGAATCACAGGTGATTTGAGATTTAATAACTTGAAGGGTTATTAGTAATGTACGAAGGGACATTTCTATAAGTAGTTCTTTAAATTGCCCCCTCACAGCACACACAAACACACAAAATCCATTCACCAAGATTTTGGTCAAATTTGAACAAAAATTAAAATTTTCAAGCCAGTTAGGATGTGGAGCAACTTGTGAGTTATAGGTATAAATCCTTATAAGGATTCAGAGGTGGTTTCAAAACCCTCCTTTGAAATTAGCTCTTCCATGAATTTCCAGCTAAACACACATCTTCCAGGTAATTCAAGATCTTTAAATTGTTCATGGAAATTTAAAGGCATTTTCCTTCAAGATCTGTAAACCTGGACCTTCAAATCTTGCTTGGAAGGAAACAACCATAGACCTGAGTCTTTACTACAATTAAGGAATCCTTTCTGTCTCTCCTCCAAAGGAGGAAAGATCGATAAGGGTAGAAACTGCTGTGGGAATTATTTGTGTAACAATTCCCTCTGCTAACCATCAGCTTCTAAACGGAGACAGCCTGCCTGAAGCAAATAAGCATTTAAATAGACCATTTACATAGGAAAAGTCTCTCCCCACCTTATCTCCCCCCTTTGCTTTCAAAATAAAAATCTAGAGCGTCAGTAAACTGCTGCCTGGCGACACCTCCCTGTCCCTGCTGGTCCTGGTGCTGCCTGTACCCCACCTTCCTTTGGGCTCCTGAGTAATTTGCCAGGCAACAGTCTGATCTCAGTCTTTGCATCTCGGTAGGGAGCAGGGCTGGGGGTGCACAACCTGTTTTATGTTGAAACCCAAATCTGTGCCTTGTGTTTACTCTGTCCTGCCACTGGCTCTGGCACTGTGATACCAGCGAGGAAGGACAGGGGAGCCCTCTGCTTCTCTAGGTGTTCACTTGAGAAAGGGTTCAGCTTTGAGGAAGGGTCTGGATAGCAAAAGATTGTCTGTAGGAGATGGCCCAAGATCTCAGGCCTCTATTGAGCTCCATCTATCTCTTCTTGAGTGATTTTTCTCACTGGTGATATCCCCTCCCTCACTGAGGTTGACCTTTTTCTGAACTAGTATGCCCCTTTGCAGCAGGATGAGAATTGGGGGAATGTCCCTCTGCCTAACTTCCCTGTTCCATTTTAAGGGACTCTCATTCCAAAATATGCTTCATAGAAACCTCCAAGTCCCCCAACAGATGCTGTCATTGCCAAGTTCACAAAGCCACCTGGCAAGTCTGTTGCCACCCTCGCTGGGCTCTCAGTGTCTGTGCAGTCATGGTTCAGTGTTACGTGTGATGAATGCTGTTTTTTGTTTAAATTCTGTCTCCCAGATAATGTGAAAATGGTCCAGGAGAAGGCAGCTTCCTATATGCAGTGTGTGCCTTTTTTGTCCCCCTGATTCATGACAATTCTTTGAGAAACAATTGCTACTTCGAAGTTATTATTAATGAAAACAATGTACCTGCACCTACAGTTTTCCTAATAAAGATCTGTATTCAAATGTAGCCACCAAGAATTTGAAGTGAACATTACCACCTGCAGTTTTCCACACTTGGTTTTGCTTCCTCAAACCCCACTCCAAGGAGTAGTGCAACCCCAGCTGCAGAGGTTAGTAGGCAAAGGCCTGGGGGACTGTTGCTCTTAATCCAGTAGCCAGACAATTGTTACATGGGAAGGTGCTCCCTTTTCTCCTGGTGATCTGCAACCGCTCTTAGAGGCCAGCCAGTCTTCCATTGTAAACCAATGGCTTAGTACAAGGTCACCAGTTTGCCCAACAGCTGGGAGAGGAAGGCTAACCCTACACATATAGGTCTTGGTAGAAGGCCATGGGGTGAGGTGAGGACTCTTCCTGTGAGACAGCTGAAGACCACGGCACTTGGCATGTTCCTACCCTACATGAGGGACCCACTGGGATCCAAAGGTTCATTCACTTATAGCTGCTGGCCAGAACGCTGCTTTCCTGACAGACAGAGGCCTTGCCACTTACAGTTTGGTCTTCAACACTATCCAATTCTCTCTACTCCCTGCTGAGCCATGTTGGAAAGGAGAGGCCAGCACAGAGATAACAGTGTTAGTGGCCCAGACATCACCACGTCACCCGTGCTCACAATCTCCCCATTACTTACAGAGTGGCTGTCATGTGAGTGCTAAGTTGCATACCATACATGAAAGGAAAGAAGAAGGGTTAGAGGCTCCAGGAGGGGCAATGTGCGGTCGATGGGACCACATGGGTATGAAAATATTAGCATAGACAAGAGTTCAAATTCTGTTCTCTCATGACTTGAGACATACGAAATACTCTCTCCTGGTCTCAGTGTCCTCTATTACATGCTGCAAAGAGTACAGAGGACTAGCCTGGGAGAGTATACATACAGGCAACCAGGATAGAATATGCACATCCTTGCACTCACAGAAGATGTTCCTGTACCCTCCTGTGCTGTGGGGTCCACAGAGCTGGAAGGATAGGAATTAAATCTGCTTGTTAAACAGCCCCTGGGTGAAGTCCAATGATGAGGCTAATGATGGGAAGATGCTTTCTATTGGTCCATATGGGTTTCGTGGGATCAGTGCAATTTTCTTGCAAGAGTACCATGCCACTGCTCCAGGACCTGACAACCAGCTTAGACTTCAAAATAGTCCTTGTCTAAGACTCACCATACCCCCTTCCCAATTCAGTCAGCAGCAAGCAACTGCCCTCACGTCGGGTCCTACACTAGGTGATAGGGCACTGGTAGGTAGGAGGTATTTTCTCTGAATCCGTGGAGCCTGCAGTCTTCAGGACCAATTACAAAGAAGTGGGCATTCTCATACAACACAGAGCATCAGATCAGGGAAACTCAGAGCAGAAAAGAATCTAATTTAGGCATCAGTGAAGGTTCCCTGAGACATCAGAGAAAGTAGGTTCTTTGGTGAGGTGGTCTGCTGAGCCCACTGGACCATGGAGAGCACATGGGATTCCTGTCCTAGTTTGCTCTTCATTGCTGTGACAAAATACTCTGACCACTACCAACTTGGGGAGGAAAGGGTTTATTTAGCTTACATATCTCGGGTCACAGTTCATCCAGGAGCCCAAGGTAGGAACTCAGGGCAGGAACCTGGAGGCAGGAGCTGGAGCACAGGCCCTAGAGGAACACTGCTTACTGACCTGCTCCCCTGGCCCCTGCTCAGCCTGCTTTCTTATGCAACATAGGCCCACCTTCCCAGGGGTGGCACCACCCACAGTGGGCTGGGCCCTCCCACATTACTCAATCAAGAAGATGCCCCATGGACATGACCACAGGCCAGTCCAATGAAGGCAATTCCCCAACTGAAGCTCCCTTCACCCAGGTGTGCCAAGTTGACACTAAAGCTATCCAGCACAGTGTCCTTGTGTGAAACAGAAGCAGCCCTGGTTC